TGGGAGAATTGCTTGAACCTGAGAGGTAGAGGTTGCAGTGAGCCAAGATCCCATTGCACTCCAGCCTGGGCAACAGGAGCAAAACTCTATCTAAAAAAAAAAAAAAAAAAAGATGTTAATAATATGCCCTTGTTATCCTATTAACACCTGTAGTATCTGTAGTTTTGTCAACCCTCTGAGCTACAACATTGGCAATTTTTTTTTGAGATTTATCAATTTTATCTGTCTTATCAAATCACTAGCTTTTGGTTTCATTAATTTCCTCTCTTCTTTTTGCTTTCCATTTCATTGATTTCCTCTTTAATCTTTACCTTTTTTTTTTTGTTTGTTTGTTTACTTTGGATTTAATTTGCTCTTCTTTCTCAAATTTTATAAAATGGAAGTTGAAGTCATAATTGAAATCTTTCTTTTTTCTCGTATTGGTATTTGTTTCATTATTTTTATCTAAGTATTACGTTAGTAGCATCACACTAAATCTGATACATTGTGTTTTCATTTTCATTCATTTCAAAATACTTTCTAATTTCTCTTTTGATTTTGGCTTTACTCACGGGTTATTTAGGATTGAATGCATAAGGAGGGTCATCCACTGATCCCTGGGATTCTCTATGCAGTTCCCTCCAGTATTCAGTCCTCTGAAATCTGGCTGTTTTGGTCTCCCTGGCCTTTCTGTTCTGTTTTCTCAACTCAGACAGTCTGCTGTGTGTTACCTGATTTACCCCCTCCCTGTGCTGAAGTCTGGAAACTCAATGCAGTAAACTGAGACAATCACAGAGCTCCTCTTGCCTGTTTCCCATATCATAGGGATCATTGTCCTTGGTTGCCTGATATCCAGTGTCTTAAAAACCATTGTTTCCTATATTTTGTCTGTTTTTTTAAAGTTGTTTCAGGAAAGAGTAAATTTGGCCCCTGTTACGCCACCTAGGCCGGAAGAAGTCCAGCTTCATTTTGCTTATATCATTATAAACCCATTTTTATATATTTTATTTCTTTTAATTCATTGCAGAATCTTCCTTTTCAATGCTCAAAATATCCCAGCCTAAGTCAGTAGGAGCCATTTCACATTGGCTTTTGGGTCCTTTGACATGTTCCTTCTAGTCTCTTTAGTAGCAAATGACATGCAGATCCCACAGTCTAAACACTGAAGGTAACTATATATTTGCATTTGCCAAACTTGTTTTTAAAAGTGGGAGAGAGAGCAAGATATACAGATTTATATTTATATAGTAGGTACAGTACAATGAAAAGAACATACTTGTGTTAGAGTGGACCCAATTCTGCCACATACAAGTCACTAATACTCAACTGTTAAATGTAGACCTCAAAAATTCTTGTCTTTGCTTCCTAAATATAGACCTCTAAGTTTCCAAACAGTCCCATAAATCTGACTTTATCTTATCAACCTGTGTACATTCAGTCTGGTTATTCTGGACTCTCATTTACACAGTCACAGCAGCTCAGAAAGGCTTCTTATCCCAATATTGCTTGATATTAGCAGAATCTAAGTAATAATAGTGTGTTATCAGTAAATATTACAAAGTAAATAGGAATCCAGTCAAGCCTGAGGAAATCAAAACAAAATTAAATCCAAGGAACCACAAGAGGATATCAATGTCCTTCCATCTATTCCCAATCCTCTGTTTTCTTGCCCTTGATTTAAAAATCTAAGATGTCACAAATCCCCAATCTTCCCTTCTAACCTACTAAATTAGACTTGATTCTTAGTTTCCATGAGAGCCCCCCACAGTCCCTTCTAGGCCAATCATTCCTAAATTCATAGATTATTCAAGGTGCAAGAAACTCCAGATCTGAAGACAGATCATCTAATACAGGCACATTAATTTCAAAGACAGGAGACTAAGGTACAGAGATTTTATGCTCCTTGCCTCTCTTAGCAAACTTAGAAAGCCAGAGATTTAGTGACATCATGTGTTAGAGAGATTTTCTAAATCATGTAAAAACCTATTTAGGCTGATAACTCTCAATATTCTATATCTCACATCTTCTTGCTTATTTATTATGTACTATGATGAAAAGGAAAATACAACTTTTTAAGTGGTGTTTATATGATTGCAAACATTTTTGTGAATGTCTTAGTAGCTGGTATGAAAACACTGCCAGAACACAAATCTCATGAAATTAAAAGCATTAATTTTATTAAAAACTGAGTCTACCCTTGGTTTTCAAGAGATAAACCAATTAAAATAGCTTTGCAGAACCGATGCATGTATAAAATGTCCTCTTTTGCCTTTACTTGAATCCAGAAAACCAAGCAACGTTCATTGCTTAGTTGTACACACCAGTTTTCTCATCAAAGAAAGGTTCTGTTGAAGAACAAAGATGTTCCTCAAAACTTTGTGGACTAACTCTAATATGAGTCCAATAGATTTTGATTGTTGATAGACCAAACCAGCAATCCTTGCCTATAATCTTCAGAAGAACCATCTCAGCAAATTGAGTTTTCCACTGCAGACATTTGCTATAGCTGTATTTTATCACAGAGAATAATTGTGATCTTTTAAGTACCAGTGTACCATAATTTTTGGCCATCTCAAAATATTCTGGGAAGCACTTACTGATCTAATAAGTCTTGTTTTGTCTTTAATGAGTACAATTTCAAGTGATCATAAAAAGCCCACATATGGCCATCACAACACTTGTTGTGCACAATCTGTTCAACCAAAGGCATTTTTACTCTACACCATAAACAGCATTAGATGTGACTAGAAAAACATTCATCTACCAAGTGTTCAGGCCAAGGTTATAGGAAATGAATTAAAAATTATGGTTACATATGATCTTGTATGGTCTTGGTTACACTAAGATGTTCTGATAGAGCAATAATTGAGAATAACAGGCCTATCCTCTCCTCTAGCATTAGGCTCTGATCCTCACAATAAAATTAAAGTTAATCAGTCCTTTAAGACATAGTATAACCACAGGCTCTCTTTCAGATACACTAGACTGGAATAGTGATTTGATTTCTTAAAATCAAACTTTGTACTAATTTTCTAGCAATTTAGATACTATGGCATCTGTTTTTTGTTTGTTTTTTGTTTTTGAGATGGAGTTGCACTCTGTCACCCAGGCTGGAGTGTAGTGGCGCAAACTCGGCTCACTGCAACCTCTGCCTCCCAGGTTTAAGTAATTCTCCCATCTTAACCTCCCAAGTAGCTGGAATTACAGCCACCATGCCACTATGCTCAGGTAATTTTTGTCTTTTGGGAGAGATGGAGTTTCATCACGTTGGCCAGGCTGATCTCGAACCTCTGCCCTCAAGCGATCCACCTGTCCTGGCCTCCCAAAGTGCTAGGATTACAGGGGTGATCCACTGCGCCTCGCCCACATCTGTTTTAATATTAATAGCTAACGTTTACTTAGCATTTACTGTGGTCTCTATTCTGAATCAAATACCTTATATATATTACCTTATTTAATACCCTAAAAAATAATTTTCCCACTTAGCTAACTGATAGACCCAATAATCCAACCTGAGGTTATAATGGCACCCAGGGTCCTATTCACTGTATGACCCTACCATAGTCCTAGGTAACTCATATACATTTACTCTTTTCCTAGGGAGTAAAGAAAGACATTATTTGCCATTAAACTGTAAGCTCAAAGTGATCCGAAGACATCAAACCGAAAGAGACCTGGGATCTTATCTAGTTTTATTCATCATTGTGTTGTCAATACAGCAACTTTCTAATAGTTGTGAGATGAAGGAAGATTGAAGGAAAAGATTGCTCAGCTATAAGTTGGAAAAGGCAAGACTCACATTCATTTTCCTAGGTACTATAGGATAGAATTGAAATTCATATAGTAACAAATTTCAGATAACACACAGGTAAATTTTATAGTAGCCAGTTTTTCCATTACACAGATGTAAGAATTGGTTTCTAATTATTTTAAAGCTCTGGAAAGCAGTAGAGATGACACATCAGTGAGAGATTACTTAAGAACTGGCAGTTTGATCATTTCTAAAAATATGAAATTTCATATAATTGTTATATTAGTGAACTCTCTGAGCCACAATGTAAATTTTTGTCATATATTGACCTCTCTTTTCACCTTACATATTCAGCTTGATCATACGCACTGACCATATTCACTTTTTAAAGTCAAATACTCATAGGATCTAGTGATATATGAGCACTTAAAATTCAATCAAAATATCTTCTAAGCACAATACATTAACATTTAAATGATTCTGGTCACATATATTTCTTTGATATATATTTCATAGCCATTAGCAATGAAAAAGCAAAAAGCTTCTTGTTTAAATGAGTATTCCATTTCAGAAAGGGTAAGTTTGGTATTGCTTTCTTCAACTCATTCTAACTTTTATCAAACACTAGTAGACTTCCATAATGGTCTGACTATCCTTTATTCAAGTAAATTTAACAATTTACGGCTCATCACCTGTATGATACTCAAAAATACCAAGGAAAAGCAGCCATAGTACCTACCTTGGTTAGGTGAATGACTCCTTTAGAAGTGACTGAACAACCCATGAAGCCTACATATTGAAGCTCAGGACAGTGCTCAGCAAATGCTTTCACCGACTGATCTGTCACCTAGGGAAAAGACATTGATGAAGTTATTCAAGGTGATAGTCCAGTGAACTCAAGGATTTGGCTCCTGAAAATCCCTCAGCCCCACCTTTCATCATTACTATTTCCTGCCCTGTTAGATTGTTTGAATCAGCATACAAACATGCTATAATATTCGTGTATTTTAAAAGTCATCTCTTGACCCTACATCCACTTCTCATCACCCCATGTTTTTATACTTCTTCAGAGATGTTGACACTGGCTACCTCCACTTCTTTACCTTCTCTCCTCCCTCTGTGTGTATATACACACACACATACACACACATATTTGTTTGCTTGGCTTTTGGCTTTTTTGCTTTTTTTGGCTTTGTTTTGTTTTGTTTTGACAGAGACTCACGTGTTGCCCAGGATGGAGTGCAGTGGCACAATCTTGACTCACTGCAACCTCCGCCTCCGAGGTTCAACTGATTCTCCTGCCTCAGCCTCCCCAGTAGCTGGGACTACAGGCATGCATCACCACGTCCAGCTAGTTTTTGTTGTTGTTGTTGTTGTTGTTTTGTTTTTTTGTATTTTTAGTGGAGACAGCATTTCACCATGTTGGCCAGGCTGGTCTCAAACTCCTGACCTTAAGTGGTCCAGCCTCCTTGGCCTTCCAAAGTGCTGGAATTACAGGGGTAAGCAATCACACCCAACTAATATATATATCGTTTATTGACATTTAATTCACATACCATAAAATTCACCCTTTCAAAGAGTACAGTTCAGTATATTCGCAAGGTTATGCACCATTACCAATATCTAATTACAGAACATGTTCACCACCCCGCAAAGACCCCATGCCCATTAACGGTCATTCCCCTATTTCCCACTGCCTCCAAGCCTGGCAATCTGGATTTTCCTATTCTGAACACTTCATATAAAAAGAACTACACAATTTGTGACCATTTGTGACTGGCTGCTTTCACCAAGCATAATGTTTTCAAGGTTCATCCATGTCATAATATGTGTCAGAATTTCCTTACTTTTCAAGGCTGAAAAATATTCCATTGTATGGATATACTACATTTTTATGGGTTGAATTATGTCTCCTTAAGATTCATATTTTGAAATCTTAAACCTCAGTACCTCAGAATGTGATCTTATTTGGAAACAGGGCAGCTATAGTTGTAAATAGTTAAGTTAGAATGAAGTTGTACTGGAGTGGAGTGGGCTCCCAATTCAACATAACTGGTGGAGCAGACATGCACACACAGGGAGAATGCCATGTGACGACTAGAGTTATGCTGCACAAGCCAAGGCACACTTGATTGCCAAAAAGACTGCCAGAAGTTAGGCAAGAGGCCTGGAACAGATCCTTTCCCAGCACTTTAGAAGAAACATGGCCCTGCCAACACTTTGATCTTGGACTTCCAGGCTCTAGAACTGTGACACCATAAATTTCTATTGTTTAAGCCACTCAGTGTGTGGTACTTTGTTCTAACAGCCCCAGCAAGCTAATATACACATTTTCCACTCTCTCTTGATCTCACAGTAATCAAGTTTTTGTCCCTCTCATTCATTGTCACCATCCTATCAATTAAACGGTCAATCTGAATTATCCCAGCATTTCAGCAGCATCTGACACAACTGATGATTCATCTGGAAACAATTCATTCATTTGCTTCTTGTATCAACTATCATGGCTTTCCTCCTTCCTTACTGTCGGCTCTTGGTCACTTGGTTGAGCCTACCTCATCTCAGTCCTCAGCTCGTTATTTTTCTTTTCCGTCTTACTTCATTCCCTAGGTGATCAGATCTAACTGCACGGCTCCTAAATAACTCTCCTAGTCCCTCTCTGTATCTCACCACACTTTGATTTTCTTCGTAACACTTATCACTACTGATCACATTACACACTTACTCACATATTGGTTTGTCAGTCTTCCCCTCTCAAAATAACTCTTCTCTCCCTCTCCCTTAGAATAACCAACCATTCTTATTTGCCTCAGACAGTCTCAGTCTTAGCACTGAAAAGTCTTATGACCCAGAAAACCACTTAGTTCCCCATTGGCACCTAGAATAATCCCTGGCACTTAGTAGAAAATATTGAAATAAATAAATGCATTTTCTCCTTCTTTTCATGTACTCCATCATACCTTTTACTTCTACTTTATTTTTAGACAAAGGGTATATTTGTATCATTTTAATATACTGATTTTTTAAATGTCATTGTACTAGTGGCTTTATTTTCTGATATAGTTCATGCGCCTTATGAAGTCTTTTTTTAAAGAAGTGGGAGGAGGCACATTTTTACACCAGTGACTCAGCTTTGATCTGTACAATGGTTAATTTTCCATATCAACTTGACTATGTCATTGGGTGCCCAAATATTTGGTTAAACATTCTGGGTATTCCTGTGAGAGAGTTTCTGAATGATATTAAGAGCTGAATCAGTAGACTGAGTGAAGCAGATTGCCTTCTTCAATGGAGAGAAACTTCATCTAGTCTGTCAAAGGCCTGAATAGAACAAAAAGTCAGCATAAGGGAGAACTGGTGCTCTCTCTGCCTGACTATCTTCCAAGCAGGAGATCAGTCTTCTCCTGCCTTTGATTCAGACATGCACTGGAACTTTCACCATTGGCTCTCCCAGTTCTCAGGTCTTCAAACTTGGACTGAAATTTACACCATCAGTTTTTGTACTTCTCAGGCCTTCAGACTTGGACTGAGACTATATACCACTGGCTCTCCTGGGACTCTAGACTGCCAAATGGAGATCTTGGAACTTCTCAGTCTCTATAATCATGTAAGCCAATTCCTTACAACAATGTCTAGAAAGATATATAGACAGACATACAGACAATCTCCTAATGGTTCTGTTTCTGTGGAGAATCATGACTAATAACTTGAATATTACAATCCCAAGTTTTATTATATGAAAAACTTAGAGCTGAAAGGAGTGGGGCCCAAGGAACTGTATTTTCAACAAGCCCGCAAGTGACTCTTAAGCATGTGAAAACTTGAGGCCCCAGTGCTTCAAAGAAGTTAACACTGACAGTGTTTTGTATTTCTAAGTAGCCCTGCTCTAAATGAATGGCAGAATAAAATTCCTCTTTTATCTCTCCCACCTCCAAAAAATTTCCATTTATAAAATTAGCTTCCTGTAATTGTGCTTAAATTTTATTCATGGTTTCCCAAAGATGCAGCTTATAAAAGAAAGTCCAAATATTCTCCATCATATGCTTAATTTCAGATTCACTTTCTTCACAGTCAAGAGGAAATTGATAAATTTAACATCTTTGTTAGTTTTTCAAACAATAGCAACTTACATCTCTTTGGCATTAGCTTTTAGTATGGGTGACTCTTTTTGTATCTTCCTTATCTATGCTGAACAGATATTGGAAAAAAGAGGTATGTGAGTAGCATTAATGCTAAAACAATCATAAGAACATTTTCCTAAAATAATGAAACCAACAGCATCTATGGTACATGTGATAAAAGATTAATTCTCCCCTCAAAAGTAAAGTATGCTTAAGCATATTAAGACTAAGGGTGCCATTGATAAATTAAAAATAGGCTTTCCTGACACTTAGTATTCAAAAGGCATTATGTTAACAAAGAATTTTTAAGGCACTCAAATCGCTGGAAGCTTCAATGAAACTCAATCACTATTAAAAACAAAAAGGGTAACAGAGGTTAAGTACATGGTCAGTTGGTTAAACATCCTGCTCAATTTCAGTCTAACATTCAGTTTTTCCTATATCCATCTTCGAGGAGAGGAGAGGAACTCGGATGAGGATTAAGGACACTAGAAAACTCAGGTCCAAGAGGCCAGAGCATTCAGAGAGAAAAGTGGGGTTTAAAAATGTGCTTCTTGGGTCTTTCTCTTTCAGCTCAAGCAATCAGAATAAGACAGCTCAGAGGAGCCTCTAACATCAACAGACCCCTGGAAAGCAAGACAAGAGTGTGTCAAGAGGATACATAAACACTCTTATTAGGCTTGGGTATGTTTTAGGAGACTAACACAAGGGCCTTGAAGATTTGGGTGGCATCCAGCTCCACTCCCCAAGGATAGAAGATCAGTTAGGGACTTGTCGCAGAAGGTCTGGCAGAAACAGACTATAGACTACAGGAAGCAGGTACTGGTGGATGTCAGCTTCTCTGGGACCCTGAAGCCTCACTGTCTAGCTTCAAATCCCAACTGGACCAGTTACTAGCTATATGATTTTGAACAAGTCATTTCTCCTCTCTATACACTTTGTTCATTCTATAATAGGGAGAAAATTATAGTACCTACCTCACAAGGTAAAATGTAAGGGTAAAATAAGATAATGCATGTGAAATATTTTGAACAATGCATGGCACATTGTAATTGTTCAATAGATTTTAGCTATTATCATAATCACTCCAGGTTTCCCTTTCTTCTGTATTCCAATTCTTAGCCAGGACTAAAGGGTTGAAATGTGTAAGAGAATATTCAAAAAGATCATATTTAAAGCATTCTAGTTTCTTGTCTTGGTTATCACAAGAGATCCTGATCATAATTTGGGGGCTTTCAGTTATAACCTAAACTATGGGATGGCTGTAAGGGAGACATAGGTCAAAGTCTGTTACTGACTCCCTATGGTAGAAAGAATCCCATTTTGTCGAGGCTCTTAACCAAGTTTCATATAAGTATCACCAAAGATTTCTAATTTAATTTGTTGGGTACAACTCTGCATCAATTTTATTTTAAAAGCTCCCCAGGAGATTCTAATGAACAAATTCTAATGCCTTCCATTCAAAGTGTGGTTCTCATATCAGCAGCATTGACATCACTTTGGAGCTTGTTAAAAACGCAAAATCTGTAGATTGCTTTTAGCAGTATCATCATTTTCACAATATTAATTCTACTCATCTATGAGCATGGGATGTGCTTGCATTTAATTCCCATTAAAATACCACCATCACTCTTCACAAAACTAGAAAAAATAATCCTAAAATTCACATGCAACCAAAAAAAGAGCACACATAGCCAAAGCAAGACTAAGCAAAAAACAAAAACAAAAACAAAAAACAAATCCAGGGGCATCACATCATAAGTTCAAACTATACTGTAAGACCACAGTCACCAAAACAGCATGGTACTGGTATAAAAATAGGCACATAGACCAATGGAACAGAATAGAGAACCCAGAAATAAACTCAAACACTTACAGCCAACTTATCTTAGACAAAGCCAACAAAAACACAAAGTGAGAAAAGGACACCCTGTTCAATAAATGGTGCTGGGATAATTGGCAAGGCACCTGTAGGAGAATGAAACTGGATCCTCATCTCTCACCTTATACAAAAATCAACTCAAGATGGATCAAGGATTTAAACCTAAGACCTGAAACTATAAAAATTCTAGAAGATAACATCAGAAAGACCTTTACACTGGCTTAGACAAAGACTTCATGACCAAGAACCCAAAAGCAAACGCAACAAAAACAAAGATAAATAGGTGGGGCTTAATTAAACTAAAGAGTTTCTGCATAGCAAAAGGAAGAGTCAGCAGAATAAACAGACAACCCAAACAGTGGGAGAAAATCTTCACAATCTATGCATCTGACAAAGGACTAATATCCAGAATCTAGAGGCAACTCAAACAAATCAACAAGAAAAAAACAAACAATTCCATCAAAAAGTGGGCTAAGGTCATGAATAGAAGATTCTCAAAAGAAGATATTCAAATGGCCAATAAATATATGAAAAAAATGTTTAACATCACTAATGATCAGGGAAATGTAAATCAAAACCACAATGCGATACCACCTTAGCCCTTCAAGAATGGCCATAATAAAAAAATCAAAAAGTAATAGATGTTGGTGTGGATGTCGTTAAAAGGGAACACTTTTACGCTGCTAGTAGGAATGTAAACTAGTAAAACCACTATGGAAAACAGTGTGGAGATTCCTTTAAAAGCAGAATTATCATTTGATCCAGCAATCCCACTACTTGGTATCTACCCAGAGGAAAAGAAGTCATTATATGAAAAAGATACTTGCACACGCATGTTTATGGCAACACAATTCACAATTGCAAAAATATGAAACCAGCCCAAATGCCTATCAATCAACAAGGGGATAAAGACATTGTGGTATATACACACAACAGAATATTACTCAGCCATAAAAATGAATGAATTAATGGTATTCACAGCAACCTGGATGGGACTTATTCTTATTCACTTATTCTAAGTGAAGTAACTAAGGAATGGAAAACCAAACATCATATGTTCTCACTCATAAGTGGGAGCTAAGCTATGAGGATGTAAAGGCATAAGAATGATACAATGGACTTTGGGGACTCAGAGGAAAGGGTAGGAGCTGGGTAAGGGATAAAATACTACAAATTGGGTTCAGTGTATACTGCTCAGGTGATGGGTGCACCACGATCTCACAAATCATCACTAAAGAACCCACTCATATAACTAAATACCACCCGTTCCCCAGAAACCTAAGGCAATAATTTAAAAAAATAATTTTAAAAAAAAAGCTAAATCTAAAGGCATAAGAACTTTACAGTGGACTTTGGGGACTTTGGGGGAAGGGTGGGAGGGGGCGAAGGA